GTCGAATAATCTGGTGTCGAATCGTACGGTGTCGAATAATTTGGTGTCGAATCGATCGGTGTCGAATCGTACTGTGGTCAAACGGAACACGCCCTTTTTGTCCTTTTGTTGTCTATAAAATTAAATGCAAGGATTGTGAGGCTATGTAGGCCAGACTGGTAGAATTTTACAGTCCAGAATCAACGAACACAAAAATTATATTAAACAAAACACTACGCAAACCTCTGTTATTACAGATCACAGAATTAATTTTTCTTACGATTTTGTTTGGGATAATGTCGAGATTTTGGATTGTGAAAGACACTATCATAAACGTCTAATTTCTGAAACGCTTTATATTAAAAAACAAACTCACGGCCTCAATTTGCATAGTGACACAGAGAACCTCGATAAGTCTTATTTATCGTTTGTTGTTAATACAGTTTAAGTTCATCTATGCGCATGTCTCAGTCTGCGATTTCACTGTTCAATTTGATGTCTTTTCAACTTTTTATCAGTCATGTACAGCTCTTGTTTGCGATACGACTTATTGTAACATCTTGCTTATCATCATTGTATTGTACGAAGTTTGGTAAACAGCACATATTTGTAAGTTAACATATTAATTTTATTTTGCGCATTTATGTTTATAAAGAAATCTAATATTTTGCTATATTATATTTGTAGAATTTGATGAAGACCTAAACGGAAGATCAAAACGTTATTATGTTTCATTTATATACATGAATAAATAATGTTTCCATCACATATTCGCACAACAACACCCGTGTTTTTAGTTCCAACTGCCTGTCACGTTTGAAATTTATATATTATTTCATTTATGCACACATATAATGTTTGTTCAAAATGTAGTATTGTACACATATGTATTATTTATTCAAAATAGTAAATAAGCAAATTTAATTATTATATATGTATCCTCTAATGAAAATTATCGTGTCACACATGTTATGTGACGTGTAATAGTAACGTTGATATATTTTTCTTTATTATTATAAAAAATTTAACTATTTATAAACATATTTACTTGCAAATTTCCGGATTTTCTATACTCATTTCATTGTAAGGTTCAGTTTTTTTTTCACATATTACTTTTTTGTTAAAATATGTATCACGTGGCATAGATTGAAAATATGCTCAATTAAACGCAGCAATCACAAATTTCGGATGATCTATGTACAATAAGTATTGAAATAAAATAATGATGAAACATATAATGGTTCTATATACAAAAGAAAAACATTATTAACAAAAACGTTTATTATTTCAAACAAGTATAAATTTAACATAGATTAAGAACTATATAGTAAATATATAATAAAAAACAAATAATAAAAAAAAAAAAACAAATATAAAAAATTCAATTAAACGTTTTTATCCAATAGTTTTCTACGCCAAAAATTACATTGTATATTATCACATAATTTTTCTTGTAGATTATTGTACATATTATTGTTTTCTTTTTTTTCATCTTTAGTTGTTTTCTCACTGGTATCTTTTTGTGTACTATGTACAGTTAGTTTTTTTTTTGCCTATTTCTTATATGTATTTTATTATTGTTTATACCATTATTATGATAATATTCTTTATTTTGATCTTGTTTTCCCCTTGTGCGGGTTGCACAAACCTTTTGTTCTCAACCTGTTAAACAAAGTATAGCAATGATATACTTTATTAGCAAGACACTCAGTATGTTACTAATTTAACCTTTTCGCTCCGGGACTGGTCCATATATGGATCAACAAGAAAAGCGAACGTAATAGATGTTTATAAAGTCAATTTAATGCACTAAATTTAAGAAAAAAATTGAAAAAAATCCTGGTTACTTCTTTGACCTTCAAAATTAACGGGTGATACTCTATTGACCACAGTACGATTCGACACCGCTCGATTCGACACAGATTTATTCGACAC